TTTAATCATTAAGATTATTTCCCTCCATCTTTGTTGCTGACGTGGCATTCTATAAAGTTAATAATATTTGGATGAATAGCTAAAATAAAGAGCATGGTTGGGGCAGAAACATGAAATCGTTGACAGGCAAAATAAAATGTATACTTTATAGTAATATTTAGATAGGTAAAATGCCTACTACCATTGGAGATGCTCAATAAGAAAAGATGTGATTCTACACCTTAGTTTGAGTGTGGTGTTTGGTTAGAATTTTCAAAAATTGATTCCACGCCCACTATTGAAAACACGTCTATCAGGTCATCCTCTCGGACATTCCACCAGATGTCCGACCAATTGACTGAAACAGTATTTGTTTGTTTGTTTATTTATTTATTTATTTTTTTGGCAATTAACACCTGTTATTTTTATATTTTAAACAAAAAAAAATATTTTCGAAATTTTAAAAAAAAATTATGAGTTTTGAATAGAATTTTGAGTTGTGTATTTAGTTATAAGTTTTTTAATCAAACAACTTTTTTTAATTTCATGTCACATCAAAAATTTAAAACTTAATTTAAAATTCTTTTCAAAACTCATAACCAAACAAATTTTTTCTTTTCAAATCATAATTCCAAAACACAAAATACAATTTTATTCTCAAATCATAATTTTAAAACGCTACCAAACGCAACCGTAACTTTTCAAACAGTCATCTCTATTTATGCATAAATTTCAAAATTCAAATTTGAATTTAAAAATTTTTGCAAAATTTTTTTTTTAATAAAATTTAAATAAATGTGGTTTAAAAAGATAAATTCGGACCAACTTATTTGATGTTAATACATTGAATTTTTTACCTTCTAATTAAAAAAATTAATTAGATTTGCATTAATTAACATTAAATTTGTATAACTTTACATTGAAGGTTTAACTTGTTAAATTAAGGGTTAAATACACCACGACCTCTTAATTATAAATAATGTTATATGCACCAATTAGTGTACTAACTGATGATGTGACATAATTTAAGATATTTTTGGTATTTATTACTTGTATAATGAGTGAGGTTAATAATAATGTCATAACTAGTGATAGTTAGTATACTAATTGATACATGTAATACCACCAAAATTAAAATATGTGAAAGTGTTTTGAGATTTACGAAAAATATATTGAGATTATAAATATTTTGACATTATATTCCCTTATTAACCGTCCTTAAAGTTGTTATTAGCATGACCTTTCTTTATTTAGTAACTAAATTGAAATTAATTTAAGGATTAATTACACCCAGACCCCTTTCAATTTATAACAAGCATCGCTTTGTCCCTCTCATTTATGAACCTGTATCTATTGACCTCCTCAACTATAAAAATGAATTACTTTTACAAAAATATTTAAGACCCATTTTCCCCCCACCCCCTTTGACCTCCTTTCTTTTTTGATTGGTCACTTTTTTTTTTTTTCTTCTCCTCCAATCACCACCCGCCACGTGTGTATGAGGTGGTGGGGGTAGAAGTTTGAGGGGGTCTAAATCACTGCTCTTACTTTTACTCCCTCCAAACGACCTCTAAAAGGAGTACATTTGTACGACAGTTCCAAAAGAGTATCTATGTACGCTTTTCATAGTTGAGAATTTCAATATGCACGAGTTCATAGATGAATGGGTCAAAATGGTATTCACTAATAATTAAGGAGTAGTGCTATATGAACCAATTAGTGTACTAATTAGTGTACCAACATTAGTTATAACATTATTATTGACTCCACTCATTATACAAATTACAAATACTAAAAATATCTTAAATTATATCACATCATCAATTGGTACGCTAGTTAGTGCACTAATTAGTACATATAGTATTATTCATTATAAATTACAAAATATTATTTATGTTTTTATTTTGTGTGTAGATGGGACGGCCTTGAAGCTTGAAACTCCACATTCATTTTTCTTTTTTTCTTTTTTCTTTTCAAATTTTATATCATTAAAAATGAAGTATCATAATACTATTAGTCTTAAATATAAAAAAAAATTGTACAACTTTACATTGATTTTTTTGAATTTTTAATTGAATTGAGGAACCTTATAAAGAAATAAACTTATACTATTATAAATTACTGATCATTGTCAAGCCTTCGAGCTTGTAGATCCTCATTCATCTATACGAGTATAGATTGCAATACATTGTTAGGTATTTGAGACTTAAACTCCCCATTTATGTTTCTTATTTATTTATTGAAATTGTGTATCATTAAAAATGTTGGGTAATAATGTTATTGGACTAAAGATTATTTGACATTTTAAATTAAATTGAATTTAATTACCACATAAAGAAATGAATCTATCAATATTTGCAATGTCTGGCCTTTGAGGCTCAAATTCCCTATTCATTTTTCTTTTCTTGTTTTTTTTTTTTTTAAATTTATATCATGGAAAATGATGCATCATAATGTCATCGGTCTTAAGTTAATTTGAGCTTACATTAAGTTGAATTTAGTTACTATATAAAAAATACAAATTAGGAAAATTTTCATAAATTAACTATTAGATTTTTTTTTTTTTTTTTTTAAAAAACATTTTGTACCACTTTTGGTTTGTAAAAGAAGAGTACTAACTCTATACAAAATAAGCCCTTGGCTTGATGTACATGTAATACAAACAAATTAAAAAAAAAAAAAAAAAAAAAAAAAGGGCCTTAATGTACAATAGATAAATCCTCTACATATAAACTTAAATTTTAATTTAAATAATATATGTCGAGCCTTCATGTGACATTTATAGACTCTAGAATTTTTCCTTAACTTCCTAATCTACCTTCACACAACCATTAAGAAAACTGTGTGTAGTCCTACTCACTATGCATGTGTTCCTAGTTGCATTGGTTATAAAAAGCCAACATACGTCTTCAAGGACTAGGTGCAAACACAGTAATGGTGAAGATTTTCCCAATCCTTTGCACTCTCATGATGGCGCTCTTATTAGGTATATTTTCTTCGTAATCTATATTACTTGTCGTAATGATGGCGCTCTTATTAGGTATATTTTCTTCGTAATCTATATTACATGTCGTCATTAGCTAAAAAAATTTGGTTTGGTTTTCACTTTTCAAAAATAATTTTTTGAGTTTTCAATCCATTTGTTTAAGTAATTTTTTTAATATTTTAATCTTCTTTGCTTTTTTTCTTTTTTTAATTTTTTACATCCATTGAAAAGTAAAATATTTGAGAAAAAAAAAACCAGAAAACAATTCAATAAGTACAACCAAAAAAAATTAGGATCTAATCATGGCTACTGATGTCGGATTAATTTTATTTTTTGCATGGATAATTTGTTCAATGGGTTTTTCAAGATAAATAGATCATTAAAGCAAGCTTGGGATGGGCCATTGCTGGTTGGATTTCCTTCACAATTATGACAATTTAATGCTATAAAATTAGAGTGGCAATGTTAACCCACCCGTCATTTGTGGGTTTGAACCCGCCTTATTTGTCAGGCAATATTTGTTGGATGGACTTAATTATTGGCGGGTCCTAATGAAAGCTTATATAAACTTTAAAAAGCTGACTTTGCAAAAATACTTTTCATGTGACAAATATATATATATATATATATATTTTTTTTTCTTTCTGGATATACTTAAGTTGTTGATTATCTTATTAGACAAATTGAAAAACTAAAGATCAAATGTATCAAATGACCACATAACAAGATATGCACAAAAATTAAACCAGATACTTTGTGATGAAAATGGCTGCGGTGGCTTGATAGCACGCATGTGATACATCTCTATAACATATAAAAGGTTATGAAAAATACTTGGGATCCTTTTTTGAGACCTCACAACTCTTTTTAGATCTCATTTATTAATATATATATATATGTAGGATCCACTTATATATGTGTGAGACTCACACCATCAATGGTTGAGATTTAAAGGAATTGTAAGGGTTCTAAAAAAAATGTATGAGATATACACCATCAATAAATGAGATCTAAAAGAATTATGAATTCCTAAAAAAAAAAAGTCTCAATCATTATTGTAAAAGTTATAAGGGCTGAATATTTTATCTTAAAAAATGAATATTTTGTTACAAAAAATATTTTGACATTAATTCATGTTGTTGTGAGGATGGTCACTAACAAATCATCACAAAGAAAAAAACAAAAACAAAAGCAAAAGCAAAACAAAACAAAAAAAAAAAAGAGGATTTTAGTGACAAAATTTTAAAAGTGTCGCTAATAAATGCATTTTAGGGACACAATAATTTGATCCTAAAAAGGTTTACTTTGTTAAAAAAAATTATAATAATTCATCATTAATATCCGATTTTGACACTAAAAATTTAATTACAGCACTTTTGACAACAAAAATATTTTATCTGTAAAAAGTCTTAATTTTTTCTCTAAAATCTTAATTCGTTATTTGTTATGGGATAAGCTCCCCTTCCCTCAATAATTCGGACTCACATTAATGATCTGAATTCGTCTACTTTGTAAGTCTCACATAAAGTTTATCTATGCAAAAAATTAGTTTTATCGGATAGCTATAAACACGAAAATAAATCGCATTTTATTTTATAAAATGAATAATTTAAGTTTTACAATCCTATTTGTCGTTCATTTTATGAAATAAAATATAATTGGTTCATGTATTTATAGATATGTCCGATGAAATTGATTTTTTGAATGAATGACCTATTGTGAGGCATATGAAATAGACAGTTCAAATTATCTACATGAGTCCAAATTGAGACTCACAAGAAGAATATGGATAAATATAGAGACATAAAGTATGGAGGGGAACACATCAATGCTTGTGATTTTTGTTGTGTGTAACGATGGTTTGTTCTACTTTGTTTTTAGGTTTGTTTGCTTTTTCTCTTGTGGGTTTGATTGCTATTTGGATTTTTTTTCTCTCTTTGTTATAACGTTCTATTATTAATAATAATACATTTATTTTTTTGTTGATCAGAAACATAAAAATAAAATAAAAACTATGATAACGATTGCAGTTACGATGGTGATGCCAGTAGCGAAGAGCGAAATAGAAATATGCAATGATGGATTGGGACTGTGTGGAAGCGATTGCAACGAAAGGTGTGTTGCAAAACATGCAGGAGGGCAGGGAAGTTGTGATTACATCATAAAACCTCCATTGTGTAGCTGCCAATACTACTGCGGTACGCCTTCTCCTACTCCGGTGAAGAGATGCACCATCGGTTTAGGTATATGCTCTGCCGCTTGCAATACCCCGTGTTGTAACGATAATTGTGCTAAACAATTCAAGAATGGTCAGGGATTTTGCGATGACTGCGTCGGTATTAGCCTCTGTCAATGCCAGTATGATAGCTACAATTACTTACTACTCTAAGCAACTGCTACAACTTTGAATGTATGTGTATAGCCAAGTGCATGTTGTCGTGAAATAACAAAGTCTTAGTATGTTTGAATTCGAATCCACAGGAATTCATATATTTGTATAAAGAATCAAGTGATCGAGAATAATATAAAATAAAAGAGAATTGATTGAAAATGATTTGAATGATTTGATAAAGTAATTGATTAAAAATAATTTGAAGTAACAATAATATAGAAAGTACTGAGGCATTAAGGATTCACCATCAATATTTTATTTGTAAAATATTTTTGATTTAATTTGTAGAACTCAAACTGAAAATCACACAAAGGGTGTTTCCAATTAAAAAATAAAACGGTTATTTTGAATAAAAAAATATCTCAAAAGGATTGATTATTTTGATTGATTGATTATACACTAAAAATCTAATTATTTAATTTGTAGGGAATTCTAAACTTCTATCGTGCCTGAAGTCTACCATAGAACAAACAATTATACAGAACAAAAACTTTACCCACTATTAGGTTTTTATTCTTTGCAACCCCGTTTGACAAAACTCCTTTCAGTTGTACTAGTTTTCGCACTTTTTTATTTCAGTGAGACTATGAGTTTTTAGATGCGAATCCAACCCGAATTGTGCCTTGCAGAGAAGTTTGTGATGTTAATTCTTTCAAGATTGCCACTTCGCTAATTATGACGGGGATCTAGCTGCCTGAGCAGCTCACGGGGGTCCAGGGAGCAGCACCCCTTGGCTCGTCCGAGGCAGCACCCGGGCGGGGTCGAGGGGCAGCGCCCCCGAAACAAAATGCAAAAATGCATTCAAAGTTTCCTGTCCGCTCGAGCGGACATTCCCCTGCTCAAGCGGAGATTGGTGAGTTCTAGAAGTATGCGTGTCTGCAAAAATATTGTGATCCGTGTTTTCACACTCGAGCGGGAGCGTCGAAATCCCCGCTCGAGCGTACATCCTGGTTTGGAACATGTCATATAGTGTCCCCGCTCGAACGTCCCCCACGCTCGAGCAGACCTCGCGATTTCAGATTCTATAAATTCGCATGTTGCTCCAAATCTAGGGTTACGTCTCCAGGTCTTCTTATTGGGTTCTAGGGGTTTACATCTGGGACTATTTTGTTAGTTTTCTTTGATGTTTCATTGAGTATTCAACTCATGGTTTAATGAGGATACATCAAAGGATTGTTTGTTCATTCTATACAAAAGAGAGAGTTGTTCTTCAGTGGATTCTGAAGAATTCGAGCTTGAAGCTTTGGTGGATTCTAGAGTGGCTCATCATCAAGACAATTCCGAGGTGAAGATGGGGCTAGAAAAGGCACATAGGGGTTGGTTCAATTCAGGCGTAGGTAATTGAGGGTATACCTGTGTAATTCCTTTATGTCTTTTTAGTGGATTGTTTTTGTGACTTTTGCCCATGGTTTTTTATCACAATTGGAGGTGTCCAATTGTGGTTTATCCACGTAAAATTGTTGTGTAGATTTGTCTTGATTGTTTGATTGGGATTGTTATATACTACTTTAAATTGATACATAATCACAAATTAACATCTAGAGAATTTCTAGATTTTTCAATTGGTATCAGAGCAGGTCGTTTTATTTTTTTTTAAAAAAAAATCTTTTAGAACGAGATCTTGTTTGATTTGTGATAATGGATTCAATTCGTGAGAGAAATTCTATGGTTCGACCACCCCTATTTGACGGATCCAATTATTCGTTTTGGAAAGTTCGGATGAGATCGTTTTTAAAATCTATTGATGAAAAAGTTTGGCAATCTGTCATGTATGGGTGGACTGAACCGACAATTACCGTTGATGGAGTAATTTTTCCCATACCAATTGATAAGTGGGACACAATTGATTACCAAAATAGTAGCTGGAATAGTAAAAATGTTAGGCTTTTATTCTTGCCAACCCCGTTTGACAAAACTCCTTTCAGTTGTTTTTGTTTTTGCACTTTTTATTTCAGTGAAACTATGAGTTTTTAGATGCGAATCCAACCCGAGTTGTGCCTTGCAGAAAAGCTTTGTGATGTTAAATCTTTCAAGATTGCCACTTCGCTGATTATGACGGGGATCAAGCTGCCCGGTCAGCTCGCGGGGGTCCGGGGCAGCACCACGGCGGGGTCGAAGTGCAGCGCCCCCGAAGCAAAATGTAAAAATGCATTCAAAGTTATTGCCTCCCGGCTCGAGCGTCCATTCCCCCGCTCGAGCGGAGAATGCTGAGTTCCAGAAGTTTATTAGCCTGCAAAAATACTGGATGTTGTTTTTTCCCACTCGAGCGGAACTTTCCGCACTCGAGCGTAGGTCTGCTCAAGCGGCCAATATGACGCTCGAGCGGATATCGCGGGACAGTTTTCTATAAATACGTGTTTCAGTCCAAATCTAGGATTACTTCTCCAGATCTTCTTCTTGGGTTCTAGGGTTTATATCTGGGGATATTTTGCTAATTTTCTTTGATATTTTTTTGATTGAGTATTCAACTCATGGTTTAAAAAGTATACATCAAAGGATTATTTGTTTGTTCTATATAAAAGAGAGAGTTGTTCTTCGGTGGATTCTGAAGAATTCGAGCCTGAAGCTTTGGTGGATTCCGGAGTGGCTCATCATCAAGACAATTCCGATGTGAAGATGGGGTTGGAAGAGACACATAGAGGTTGGTTCAATTCGGGCGTGGATTCGCTAGGTAATTGAGAGTATACCTGTGTAATTCTTTTATATCTTCTTAGTGGATTGTTTTGTGGCCGTTGCCCGTAGTTTTTTTATCATAATTGGAGGTGTCCAATTGTGGTTTTTCCACGTAAAATCATTGTTTCGATTTGTCTTGATTGTTTGATTGGGATTGTTATATACTGCTTAAAATTGATACATAATCACAAATCAACATCTAGGAGATTTCTAGATTTTTCAAAAACTATCAATTCTCTTTTTTGCACTGTCACACCTGAAGAGTTTAGCCGAATTTGTAATTGTGAAGGCGCAAAAGAGGCTTGGGTTATCTTACAAACTATTCATAAGGGCACTCATTCTATTAAACGCTCAAAACTTCAAAGGCTCACGTCTAGTTTCGAAAACCTTTCAATGAAAGATAGTGAGACCTTTGATGAATTTTATGCAAAGTTGAGTGACATTGTAAATTCCAGCTTCAATTTAGGTGAAAAAAATACCGGAATCCAAGATTGTAGGAAAATTTTGAGGTCCTTGCCCGATCGGTTTCAACCAAAAGTTACGGCTATTGAGGAGGCTCAAGATGTTGACAACCTCAAGCTGGATCATTTGGTTGGAAATCTCCAAACTTATGAGGCACATAGGAATTTCAAAAAGAAACAAAAAGATACTATTGCTTTTAGTATTGCTCATAGAGTTTGAGAGGATTCTTATGAGAATTGTGAGATAGATTCCAAGATCACAGATGCTTCTGTAAAACAATTTAAAAAATCTTTTCTGAAAAAGAATCCTAAACTTTTGGAATCTACTCATACTCATAAATCTAAAGACAAAGATAAACTCAAAATTAATTCTATAGCCAAGAAGGAGAAAGGAAAGATACAAGGAAACTCTGAAAGAGTCCAATGCTATGAATGCCAAGGATTTGGCCACTTTGCTCAAGAATGCCCTACTCATTTGAGGAAGAAGAAAGCCCCCGCTATCACTTGGGATGATGAATCAGAATCTGATAAAGATGAAAGTGACAACGAATATCAAGACGAGGAGGGACATAAACAATTCCTTGCTTTCATGGCGGCTTTCGAAACTGAAAAACAAACAAAGTATCCAAAAAGGCTGGTTGAGAATGACACTGATAATGAATCCTCGGGGAGTGATGAGGAAGAGCTTGAGCAAGCTTATAAAAAGTTGTACAAGGAATCTCTTAACTTATCCAAATTTAATGACAAACTCACGACGAAACTCAAAGCATGTGAAAGTGAGAATGTCAAACTCAAGGAGGAGATTTCTGAGGCTAGGATTGATGCCATCAAGATAACTAATGATCGACAAGCTCTTTGTGCAAAACTCTTGCCTTCTGAGACAAAGGGAAATGAGCTACAGCGAATCTATGCAATCTATGAAGAAAAGATTGAATCTCTCAAGATATCTCAAGTTGCTTTGGAAGAACTAATGATCAAGAAAGAGGAAGAGCTCAAGTGTGCTATGGCAACCATTGGTCTTTAGAACAAAGGATCAAAGACTTTGGACAATATCATTGGTTATCAACAAATTTGTTCTGACAAGAGTGGCATTGGCTTTGGTGGTAAGAAAGAGCAAAAACAGAGTGCATCCACATCTCATGATACAAGAACTCAAGGGCAAGGGGAGCACAAGATTCAACGAGAGGAAAGACTTCTCAATCTTCCTAAAGTTAGTAAGGTCAAAGAAAAAAAAGTACACCCTGTGTTTATTTGTTATCATTGTGGTATGCATGGTCATATTCGCCCTTATTGTTATAAGTTGCATGGAAGGGTGTCTCATAGAGATGGACAAAATTCCAACATCTCGTGGGGTAGGAGACACTTCATTAGTGGTAACGAGGTTAAGGGTCATATTAAACCTCGTTATTTTGATGTGCTTGAGACCAAACATGGAGCGAGTTTGCATTTGCCTAGCTCTAGGAATAGGAAGTTGGAAACCATGTCAAGACGGGTTCTCATTGAAGAGAAAGGGAACCATAATGTCAAGACACCACCCAAGAACTGCCATTCTCACAACTTTGTTCATACTAAAGCAGTTTGGGTGAGAAAACTTGACTTGTGTTAATTTGTTGATTCATTTTTGATTTTGGGTTTCTGCGTGTTTTTTTCTTTTTGAGTCATTTAATGTGTGCATGTTTATTTTCTGTCTTGCTTTGTTTCAGAAAAAGAAAAAAATGTGTGCTTGTTCATTTTTTTGTCTTGCTTTATTTTTGAAAAAAAAAAACAAAAAGATTTTCTTAGTATGGTTTTGCAAGCTTGAAATTTTTAAGATGCCCTTGGTGCATACTGGAATTGATGAGAATATCCATTACATGTTAATAT